ATCCGATTTGTTTCAAAGGCGAACATCTTACCAACTGGGTGCGATTATCTGTAGTTAGAAACCTTGCCTGCACGTGAATGTCGAAGGTTAAATGATCGTACCACATTCTTTCATTTCCATCCGCGCAGACAGACCTGGTTTACATCATCTTCAATAACCGTTGATGTTGTTCACACATTCCACCTTTCATTAAAGTGATTCGAAGAGTCAGTATAATTCTAGATTCTAGGTAGTTCTATTTCTCCTTCTTCGATTTGCTGCCGCATTTGCCAAATCAACCGGCACGGGTGACTGACCGTAGTCAAGGGCGAGCAATTGATAGAAAATATCGGAATAAATATGCACGAGATAGCCGGTTGTTAGCAAGCAAGTGTGGTGTCACGCGTGATGTGACTGACATTGTGTGTTTGCCTGGTAAGGTTAACAACAGTGGTGTCATAGTTCGACGGAACAATTAGTGAACGAATGGGTTTGGAGCTACGAAGGTGTTAAGTGGGGATGCTGAATTTTAACCGAACAATGCAAACCTTTGATTGGGTAGTTAATTTCATGAAATATTCCGAGATAGTCGGTGAGACTGATTTTTCTTCATTATTATGCATGCTGGCAAAACGATTACGGATTATTCATTTACATTTTTGCTATAGTGTGTGCTGGTCCCTCGACCAGGAAACTTTACACATGGGTGGATCGAGCAAACAATCAAACAGCCTGGGAGCAGCGTAGACCTTTCATCGTGTGAGAAAGTAGGTGATTGTACTATATGTACTCACAAAATCTACTGACTGCCATAGTCTGATATGAGTATGGATACAAAGATCAACGATCCTTCCCCGAATTGTCGGAAAAAAGCATGTCGAATTCGGAACTTCAACTGGAGATTAAAGATTAACAATAGTAATAAACATATATATGACCTTGATGGAGGATTTGATTCAATTAAGCAAAGAATTTCTTCGTGCCGAAAACAGATGTAGCTTGAACTGAAAAGCTGCTCGGACATGGTCGGGTCCCATCGGCAGTGAGAATCCACCGACTGAACTGACGAACGAACTCGGTAGAACGCTTGCATACTATCCACTCGGCCACCGGCCAGCTGATCCAACCGTTTTTCATTTTACCTATACTCGATATAGCACAAACTACCTTGACAAACTTGTTACGGGCATCATACTTCGAGCATTTTTGCCCGAACCTCCATGTGTATAGCACGGTTGGAAGTATTCTAAACCTAAATACTTATCCTCTGAGAGATTTGGTAAATCACCCCCGAAATTTACGCATGGTCTGCGGGTTGTAATCATACGATTTGCTTGTACTATTTTGCCGATCCATTTTTCTCTGGAGGTTTAGGACTGGGAAACTGCCTAACAAATGGTAATATAAATTCTCCTTTTGTAACTAATAGCAATCAGTAGTGCATTTCCAAAACAAGCTGTACAAATATTGTGAGCACTTCTGAGTTTACTGATGTTAGGTCTATACACCCTTTCAGATAATTCACCGAAATGTTGTTTATATTTGTATGAACACGTTTGAACTGGAAATCTTGGCGGCAGTGCATTAGAAACTCTGCTCTATAACCACACAGCCAAGGGTGTCACTCCCGGTAGATAGGGGGTGTGGGTGGGTGGCTTGGTGATGATCTTAAACCGCAATAATCTGCGAGCGGATCGGATGTGATAAGCCTTTGTTCATCTGCACACGTTTGTTTCAAGTTGCATACGGGATTAGCCAAACATCCAGACGTTACGGACTGCCTAATGCTTTTGTTCTTCTAAGACACTTGTCCAGCGGGTTATATACGATTCACATCCTATCCCCACTGTTTAAGACGTTTTCTAAAGGCTTCCACTACTCTGATAAGTGTGCAAGTCATTGTTAACCATGCCTTGTTCTCATTTATTCCCGTGTGATTCTCAATTGTCCAGCATAAGAAGTCCACCGACAGTAACAAGGAGCAATTAAGAGATCTGAACAAAGGATTTCGGGACAAAATCGATTTGGCCTCCGATCTGGTCAATCGTATTTGTGGACGGTATGCGGTGTTCGAAGTCGAGCGATCGAAATGGCAAGCACGTGAGCAGGAACTGGAGCAATCCAAGCGCCAAACGGAGGACCAAATGAGAGAAGAGAATGAATCACTTGGTAACTGGAATCGACGTGTGAATTCCCTGTTCCGGTTTCTTGGTTTCACCTCAGTCCTATTCTGTACAACTACCACTCCTACAGCTTTTAGTAGTTATAGTTGGTTTTTCTCAGGCAACGGTCCTGAGTCGAAGGATGGCTCTTTTAACGAGTAAAACAGGACTGTAGTGAATAGAAAAGCTGAATATTTCTGGTTCCTTCATCTCATGTGTTGAAGTCTGATAGAATGAACGACCCATCGATGAATAGTTTTACGTACGTTAACTAGTGCGCTAGGTGACGTTATTCACCTTCAAACCAGTGGATTTACCAATAGACAGATGTTCACCAAATGATTTGCCACGTGCATTGTTTCACTACGGTTAGTTACGTTCAATATGAGCTTGTAATACGCTCTCGCAGCGCAGTGGAGTGAACGGATATGCGCGAAAGGATGTCCCTCGGCTCGTATTCTCAGAGCGGGAGACGATACGAGGCTTTGCGGGCGACGAACGACGGCGGGGAAAGGCGGTAGGGATGCGGAGAACGGGTTGGTGAGGAAACACTGGCAGACGGGTCTTCCGTGGGTCGGGGTTGAAGTTAAACCTGTGAGGTAAAGCAAACAAAACGCCATGAAGCGAAAAGGTCCAGTGAAATACAAGCACTCACGATAAAATATTACTGGCGCCGTTTCCAAGCCTTACAAGTTCAATTGATCTGGTTTTCTTAGGTATCATTCAGAGACCACTGGATCGGGCTGTTAAATTCATTCGTAATGCAGAATGCTTGGGCCAGAGTGTGCAGAAGGATACTCGATGCTGTGAGACGTGAACTTAACCTGGTGGGCTGGAAGTGTTGACAGAAACGTGGTTATCCATGCATGAGATTGCACAACCAGCTTAAAGCGAATGAAAAGCAAACCAGCATGTATCCAAGGGTTCGAAGGTATATGAATACGACTCACTCTAAAATGGAGCCAGGGTGATATCAAGGGTCCCATCATAATCCGCGTTACATGTAATAGGCCTACTGACAGATAGCTGATTTTTGGTCAATTATCCATCTGTAGCGCGCCTCTCGATTCAATCACAGGGGAAGTTGTTATTGAAACCTTGGAATTGTATGCCAGACATGATTACAATCGCTTCGAAATCACTTCTCTATCCTTGGTCAGATTAACTACGACTAAGATGCAAAGCCTACTAACGGCGTGACTTCAGTTTATTCACCTCAACGTGACTTTATGCTTGTGCTCCGCAGCTGTCAACATCATATAAATTTAGGATTTTGGAACGCAGGTAATTGAAAAGAGGATACACACTGTTCACTTCTAGCAGTATTCACTAGCAAACTATTTGTTTTCAGCGCTATTCACCATATTGTTTCCTTGTCATGTCCTGATTAGGAATAGTTGTACAGTATTGGAATAAAAAAACAATCATTGTTTTCATCGACGTAAAGAAATTCTCCTACACCTATCTCTCTTTTCGAATAACCGCAACAAATGGGTGCTTTTTAGTCCTTACTTATTCCGATTTCTCATTTCAGCTCGGGAACTTAGTTCTCTCGAGGAATTTCGCGCCAATCGGGAGACTCTGCTTCAACGATATACTGAGCTGGTTACAAAATGGGAAGAGATGAAGAATGATCAGGTGGAAGCGCTGAAAAGTCTCTCGGTGCGCGATGCAGCTTACCGTGCCCGGCTAAAGAAAGCTACACAACGTAAACTGGATAAGGTAGGACTGGTACCCATTTGATGTAGATTTTTTCGCGAGGTTTTAAATCTGTTCTTGGTTGAAATGCACTGTGTAGTACATTATTCCTCTATAGAGCGACAATCGTCGTGACCGGTGGAACTTGTTAATTCTGCTAGGGTGCTTGCTCCTAGGAAGAACGTTCAGAAGATAGTGATACAACACATGGTTATGTTTTACTCCGCTTATATCCGTGGCCTACTATTATGTTTTGCAGCACTATATCATAGGTGAACACCACAACTGCAAAGAACACAAGATACAGCACAGTAACATTAGTAGCACACGGGAAGACGAGAACAGCGACTAGCACAAAGTCCGTGAACGAATGATAGTTCTAGGAGCGGAATCCACCTAAGCACAGGACGCACAGTCAACTGTCGATCTCTCAGGTCCCCCAAATCACGAGAGAGAAGGCACGGCTTCAGCAGCACGGGCTTTTAATGGCGTCGAACATAAGTCACAAGTCAATTTACAACTTTTACTCTGATGTTTATGTGGGACTGAAAATAACATTGATCAATGCAAGACAACGAATGCACCAATGAAATACGCAGTGAGCAAAGTTCAAACGCTTATAGGACACGGATCAAACGCACGGAGAGAGTGAAAATTGCCGTGCGCCGCAGTATTGTTGAATAATCTCCGCGAGATTCGTGTGGATCCGAGATGACCCCAATTAGGGTGGAATGCTTTGCAAATTTGTTTGATTTTGATCACAGAATTAGCAAGCATGGAGCCGGGCTTGTTTTAGGACGAATAGCAATGATATTCGTCCCGGCATGCATCATCCGAAAAATGAAGACCAGTTGACAGCACGCGTCATCTTTCCAAATGTCTCCCTTGAGATTATTATTGTTTTTTAAAGTATCGAAACGGACACAGAACAAATCATTCATCAGCAATTAATATCATCAGAGCAGAGTCCGTTGTTAATGGTTTTCCGCTCTTTTGTCAATCGCATAGATCTACCTTATTTTTGTCTTCGATTTCGGGTGCAAATTCCGTGCACGATGCAAGAAAAATTTTCCGTTCTCAGGCAGCTTTTCTTCACCATTTTGCGAGAGGCAAGCAAAATGTGTATCTATATATAAGAGAAAGAAAGTGATCTAGCAACATCCCTTGTAACTTAAATAGCCGGAATATGCATACACTTCGAAATAGTTATTTCGACCAAGTTTTCGATTATTCAGTCGCGTTGCGTGACAGCAATATCTCCTGTTCTTCAATGTTTCATATCTATTTGTCCCTGTATCTCTACTTAGCCAGCGAGTAACGGGATTGGCGATTACACCTCAATGAAGCAAACTCGTTGGTTTACAAACCTTATTATTTTCATGAGAATCATACATTATGGTTAAATAGTGACTAAGAAAAGTTAAAGCTAGACAGTTGGAAATGTTTGTATTCGTTTTGCGGAAAACATCAATAAATAGATCCAAAGAGAACAACCGAGAGGGAGAGATAAGGATGCGCATGTGTTGTACCGGCCAAAATCAACACTAAATCAAGAAATCGGTCAATGGGAATACAATACAATACAACCTTTTTGACTGTAGTTGTGTCTGATTCTTTTTATCTCTATAATCCATTTATCTTCGTGATTGTCTAATGGAAGACGCTGTTACACAATACTGGGAACTTTGTTCGATGGCGCGTCTTTTAATTCAGGAGTTAGCTCTTTATTCTGTTTTCAACCAAGTATGTCACAGATGTAAGAATGTACTGCGGTGGACACGAATATCAGAGCAACGCATATGTGTATGGGTGTAACATAAATGAACCTCTATGGCTAACCAAAGCTACAGGAACCAAACATGCGTGAAGAATGTTTATCCACGATACAACGTGACGATGATAGCGCAGGTATGCACACCAGCGGATTCGGCTTTCGATCGTTGCTCATCTCGCACTTATCTAGGTATCTTTAGTTTTATGGACACAGCTGGAAAAGACGAACACAGCAAATCAGTAAATCAGATTTCCTTCATGACTACCGCTGTCCAGTGGTCGTATTGGTCGACGGACAGTTATTGAAGTTCCATTCCTTTGGATTTTTTAGTCGGTGACCATTTGGTGACTTTTGTTCCAAGCTGTAAGGCCGGTAGCAAAATTTGAACCGTTGTTCAATAGTTGAATGAGTTAATCATTGACAGTTTTAGCGAGTTGACGCTTTCTGAGCATACAAAATCAGAGAGAATGTTTAATTATTAATACCTAATGAACCCGTTTCTTTAAGTTGCTACTTTAATTCATATTGTGCATTTGCGGAAATGCGTATTTATCAAGGTTCTATCAAGGTTGAACATATGCTAGCAATACATACATACATAGTTTATTTTGCGTTTACTTCAGGTGAGTCTGATATCGGAGGTGAGAAGAAATAGTGACCGAATTAGTATCCAGTTATAACAAAATGGAGGACATATTGAAAAACAGCGTGGATAATCAAAAAGAAAAATAATGTTGGATGTGGGCCCAGTATCCAGGTGTACAGCTAGGATAGCAAGACAACACAATAAGTGCTATATAAGTTCACATAAACCCTGTATGTGTTAGGCGATAGCTAGACAGAATAGCTGCAATAGTTTTCGAATAAATTTAATTAAGAGATGGGTTGTTCAAAAACTCTGGCGTAACTGCAGAATGTGGGATGAGACTGTGAGGGGTGAATTGTGTGTGTGTGTGTGTGTGTGTGTGTGTGTGTGTGTGTGTGTGTGTGTGTGTGTGTGTGAATAAAGTGTGTGCATGTGTGTGTTTCTGTGTGTGCGTGTGAAGGGTTAGTGAATCCAACCGTGCGGAATCACTCAGCGTCCGGTGCGCATTTAAGGTAGACACAATCGGTACATTGGTAACTGCTAAGGTAGTTATAATCGCAGGAGAGCCCCACCTTCGGTACCGAACGACCTTCGTTGTTCTAGGATGCAAGCGGTTCGTACAGGTGTAGTTTCGGTATGAATAAGCAATAGGAAATTCCACAGAAAGCTGATCATTGGGCTGTTCTATGCACAAGACTGATCTATGTGCCCATTGATTAGTTTATTAACTGAGATGAAGATTGGTCTAGCTGAAGATTTTTGATCATCATCAGCTTTACAGTCATTCACTACGTGTGTGGAACAGCAACAGTCCCGTTTCCAAATCAGATAACAACAGTATAACTGCTGCTAATTGGATATCATCTACGTGATTAACCGTTTTAAAACTCTCTCTTGTCTTTTCTCCAGCTTTATAGCTCAATATCATTGTTCGTGTTTCATTTCTGCTTGATCATTAGGTGGCAATGGAGTTTCGCCAGCAGTCGTACGAGCTTACGGAACCAACATTCAAACGAATGCTGGGTGAGAGTGTATCGATCAAGGTTCAGTTGGCGAAACTGTCCACAGCTGTCACACAAATATCCGAAGATAATATCGCAAAAACAAAGGAATACCAAAAGCTATGTGAAGAGTTGTCACAACTGGAAGAGGAACAGGAATTGGTGGCAGTTCGGAGTTCGGCTGCTATGAAGGCATGTTTATGTTTGTGTATCTGTGCGTGAATGTGAGTTGCTCGTTTACAATAAGAACTGTAATTCATTAAAAGGTATACTTCAATATTGGTCGTTGACCATGTAACTCAGGGGTAAGAGTTTCGTCTCCCAACCTAGAAGCCTAGTGGTTTGAGTGGTTGTAACCTGCAGTCAGTTGCGATGTTTTCGGTCCATGCTTATGGCCTTTTAATTGATCGATTGGTTGGCCAGTACCGCCTATTCCCACACACGAACGCACTCACTTCATGCATACTTACTCCATTACAACATCAAACGGCTCTAGTCAATCAGATGTTAGTATTCAACTGTCCGCGCTGATTGATTCGTTGAGTGTTTGACCGCCTACTTGATCGAATTCGGGTATCGTGTAACACTTGAACTAGTTGTTGGCCTACCTGCGTGCTTTTTTACGTGTTTTCCCTTCTGTCTGCCCCCCCCCCCGGAGTACTGACAGGCTGCCTGTTTGCTTTTTGCCAGTAAACGTACTGCCAAAATAGATGCGTGGTAATTTACCCTATTCAAGTGGGACACAACAAACACACTGTGAACTACTGATGAATCTTCACAAGGACGAAACTGATGTCCGATGCTCTTTGTTAGCTTTCACACACACACACACACACACACACACACACACTACCGGAATACCAAAATGTGAGATTGGATAAACAAACTAACAAGGAAAGGCACACCCAAACCAGAACTATATTAAATACATAAATTAAACTATCTAGTAAACACAGCACATCGGAATGGAGAACGAAAATAGTCCAGTCCCACAAGTCAAGTCAAGAGTGCACTTTATTCATCCAATGTGGACAGAATTTTCAGTGAAAAGAGTGTTATCGCTTTTACTTTGGCATTGCATGCTATTAATAATTAGCTTTTAGATATGACAAATGGTTACTGAGATGATAATGAATCGGACACCGAGAACACGTAAAAAAATAAGGAAAATGTCAACGTGGAAATTTACATGAGACTGTGTATAATTTCGTTTGATATTCGCTCCCTAGAAACCAACAAACGTGAAAGGTAAGGTACAACGGAGTTGTGAAAAGCAGTGGTACGAGTATATAAAGATTTAAATTTATTAGGGGTTACAGAAGTTGAAATGGAGCTAGATAGAGCTGTGTGTAAGGGATGTGACGCATCGGACAAGATGGAGTCACACAGACGGTCACACGCAGTCAAGTGTTGGTTGACAATGGAATCAAGCAGCTCCTTACAAGATGCAGCTCCATGTCTGGAGATGCATCTCAGTGAGCGTCTAATTAATATGAAATCCTTAGATAATAGACCGGAAAAGATAACGGGAAAGCATTAGGTCCAATGGCATAACACGCATGAGAAAATAAATTTGGAGATGATGTACAATGGTACCCTCAGATGCCGAAGGCGTGAAATATAAAAGGTCAACTTTCTGACTTTCAGAAATGTTTGTTCTACGTGATAGGACCATTTGAGATCAGAAGACACGAAACATCCCAGATATTTAACGTGTTGTGACCTTTCAACTTTTAAGTTATTGATCACGATATTGGGAACAGTTGATCCAGAAATAGTTGGTGGCCTACGATCAATGGGAAACAAGATTTCAATGCATTTATTGGGGTTTAAAGAAAGGTTAACACCATTCGACCATTCAGAAATAGAATTTATGGCTGATTGAAGGGTGTTAGTTGAAGGGTTGTTGTTGTGAGATGCACCACCAACTACTGTGTCATCGGTATATTTAAAAGTGGAAACACTTGGGGTGATTGGCAAATTTTGGATATCAGAGGAGAACAGAAAAGGGGATAAAACTGCACCCAGTATTACACCCTGGTTTACGGTAACATTAGAAGACCGAATATTATTGAATGGGCGTCAGTCGGTAGAATAGTCGTTGATCCAATTCAAAAGATGTGGCGGGAGATTATTTTTTGCCAAAATAGTGTCAATAGGATGTTTCTGTCGACAGAGTTAAACGCGTTTGTGTAGTCCAAGAAACAAACGTGAGCAATTTGTGTTTTTGGTCTATAGTGGATAAAATAGAATGTATAAGACAAGCAACTGCATCTAAAGTAGAGCGGCGCTTACGATAAGCAAACTGACTGGAATCACGAAAATCAAGATCAGAGGATAAGTAATAATACGCTCAAAAGTTTTAAATAATATTGAAGATGAGGCCATAGGCCGAAACTTACCCTTTTCTTTCTTACTGGAGTGCTGCGCACATCACGCCATATGTTAACTAGTCTTCCTTCTGACAGACATATTAAAGATAAATGAAACGATTTGTGCGAGGTGGTTTGCACATGTTTTAAGGACTACTGGGGATAACCCATCAGGACCAGCGGATTTATCTCCATTGACAGCATTTAACTCCTTTAAAACTTGCTCTATTGTGACAGACACAGGAAGGTGGAAATCAAGTGACGTGCTTGGACTCCGTAAAGCTTGCACAACGTTTTTCACTGAATCAGATGATATGTTGAGCTCATTTATATCACATGAGACTGTAGTTCGTAAAGTTGAACGACCACAGAGCAACTTCACTTCGTTCCAAAGCTGACGGCAGGATTTGTCTCCTAGCACGGTGTCAACATACAGTTGATTTAGATGGGCTATCTCGCTTATGATATGAATGATAACGGATTTGACCGTCAGTTTGTCTCTTGAGCAACACGCCCTTTCTTTCAGCCCACGTAATCATTTCAGTTTATCGGAGATGAAGCGGTTGGGCTGTGGTGAATCCTTTGAGGGCAGCACACATCATAACAATACTTGAGATAGTTGGTAAGGTTCTCACAGAAGACTGAAATACCAGGATCGAAGAGTTGTTGTAAGTCCGTACCGCAAATCATGAATTTTAACTCCATCAAATTGGTCACAGGATTTTGTCGTAGACGTATCTTACGTGCATCGTACTTCATCAGGATTTGTTACTTGCATTTACCATATATTAAAAGTAAAATTTTAATCATATAGTGATCTGAATTACATACTGGTGCACGTTTGAAGGCACGAAAAAAGGTGGTTCGTGAACGAAAAAGTGGTCGAAGGAGGCATCACTTCGAGTGGAAAAAGTAACAATGTTCTGAAGGGACATGAGCGTGTAAAAACTCACATCAGATGTGTTGAAATCGCCAGCAACGACGAATACAGATGTGACAGGTTTCTCTAACATGATTGGATAGAATACATCCAGGAAGGTAGACACTCACTAGGAGTACAGTCAGGAGTGATGTATAGGTTTGAAAGGTGATCGAAGAGTGACGCAGGAGAAAGCGTGGTTTACATTCTACAGAAATACAAGAAGTGTTTTGTGTGCAGTGAGTAAATATGCATTTGGTGGAGTTACACCACGACCGGCGCACATAAGTGATGACGCCTCCACCTTTAGTTTTCCTTCCTGGAGGTCTGTCTGCTCGAAATAATTGGAAGCCTTCGAGCTGAACCAATTCGTCCTAGACGGATTCTTGTAACCGAGATTCTTGGAAAAGTAGCACACAACTTTTGGAGTACTCACCGTAGTGAATCAGATTTCCGATAGCTTAGAAAGAATTGAGCAGACATTCGACAACAAAATGATCGGAAAACCAATGCTCTTCAGGTTTCGGTGCTCACGTGCAACTTTTCAGCCAACGCGATGTCATGTGAATTTTTGGTGATGCTTTCGACCTTATTTCTCACAAAACGAGAAAAAGCACGTGAGGACGGTTCGTTGATATAATCTACGGATACTCGTAGGGAAATTAAACTTAGCGCCTTGTAGATTATGATTGAGGTCATCGTAATTGATACAAAAGTATATCCAGAGGTTGTGTGTGATGAAGAAACCAAAGCTCCAGTGATAACAAAAAATTACTCGGTCAATTTAAAAGGCCCCACCGACACATAAATCGCCCGTCGATTTCCCCTCTGATAACACCGTTGACATGCTCCAAATTCCCANTCGCGATGCTGATGCACGGTATTCTTATGAGCATGTACACCTGGATACAAAATACGGAGCGGTAATCATAAGCCCGTTCACCACTCAGGAAAGGGAAATGAGAGCGGTTCAATCAACTAATGATAATTTGAAGAATAGATCCAACCGTATTGATCAATTGACAAACGTAAACATGACAGGCAAACCAGTTCCGTCTCACTGTACACCAGTTCATCTTCCGTTGCGGTTGCATACATAGGCAGAACAAACCGTCAGTTGTAACAATGGATGGCCGAACATATTCCAAAGTTTTGTATTGAGCTTCAGAAATGTAACCATGTAATAACAATCTGAAGCTTTCGGGTAATCTGTATCATTCTCATTCTCATTGGTACGAACAAAAAATGTTCCAAAGTGTTTGGTGAAATCGGTGACGCAACCGATAAATGATGGCCAAGTGATTACAATGAATCCAGGATCAATCAGGATCAATCCAGGATCAATCCAGGATCATCCGTTGCAAAACATTTAATGGCAACAAGATACACAGCTGACCCTAATTCGTCTTTAAAATCACTGTTACGTAATCGCAATGCTAAACTTTTGGCGATTAGTGAAGCATTGCTCATTCGCTTACATCACCCGACCTTGTGCGCACAGAAGTTTTTTGATACAAGCAATCCATTTACTTTGAAGTTGACCTTTTACTTCTAAATTTATTAATCTGTGTCTGCTTGTACTCGTTCGTTCACCATAATTGATTAATCCCATGTGCTGTATATATGTCTGTTTGTTTTAAGTCGGCGACTGAGAAGATTAAACGAAATGTTAACATTCCGTGACACTTGTCTTCTTTCTGTTTTGATGAAATGGACAAAGGGAACTCAATGCTTCCAATCCTCAGTTAATGAAATCAGTAAATATCAATTATCCCACACCACTTCTCACAAGGAACTGTGAATTAAATACGAGTTATCAGTCCAGCCCTGTAGGTTCGTTGGCGAATCAGTCCGTGACCTGTATGGAAGTCCTGACTTGGTGGGAGGCTTTCGATTGGAATTAACAGAATTGTCATCTGTGTCTCCCTCCATTGCAGTTGGGCTAAATGAAATGGCTGACTATCACCGAAGACGACAGCAGAACAAACATGAACTGGAAATTTGGTTTAGCTGTAGCATGAGCTGTTTGGCACAGCGGTTACACACAGGCCTTCCGTACAATGGGTCCGGAGTTCAAATCCCGGACGGGACGATGGATATGCACTACTGATAAGCTCTGATACGAACGAAACTTGAGTCTAATGCTTTCGAGTTTATGGTTGAATCGATGAACTGAGGATTGTGCGTGTACGTGATGTCCGAAGGATAGCCAGTTCAAATCAATAAATATCAATTATCCCACACAATTACTCACAAGTAACTGTGAATCAAATGCGACAAATTAAAAGTAGTTATAAACCTAATTGATTTAAAGCGTTTTTATTTCTACCCAACCCCCTGAATTTCATAGTAATCGACTAAACCGGGATTCTGTTCCTTCAACTTTGATCTTGTTTTACCTTTTATAGGTTTTTTGTTCTCTTTACTCCCTTTTACGGAATACGTAATGTTCCAATGTTTAGGAAGGAGGAAGCGCCAATCAAGTGGCTGCCGTACAACACATAGCAAAACGGCGGACGTTAGGCGTCCGTCGGTGGACTTGCATTCACGTGATGAATAGAAGAATCAATAGACCCCAGTGGACTGGTGACCTATACGCTGTGATTGAGGGAATCGTGACGCTGATAGAATAAAGGTGGTGTTGAGCCGAACGCGGTGAAGTTGGTACTATTTAGACTATATTTTCACACAATAACACATTATTGTTATACGAACTTCTGTATCCCTGTCCAAGAGTATGACAAAAATAACTAATCACAGTATCAAAATGCGGTCAGTTGTGAAGTTCAAATCGTCGAAATACTTTGCTGATCTGCTTCAATTTCAAGGTACTATTCTGACTGAAGGTAGTTATTCGAGTGAAACTTATTGTGAAACATCACATTTTCCGAAAAAAATGTATCACAGAAATCGCAGTTAAAGCAACTCGTGTTAGTGCGATTTGTGAGCCAACGCCAAACACCCCACCAAAAAACAAACTCGTAACTCGATCACTTTACAAGCACTGGAGACAAGGATGCACAGGTTTTAGTTCTGGGACGTCTTATCAACCACTGATCCAATTCATGTGTTTCCTTTATTCAACCAAAACCAAATTCGTGTTCGAGGATTTTGGGAGCAAAGGCATCACTAGATACTGTTTACGATCTAGCCGGATGTTTCAATTTATTCATGCGACAAGTGTTCCAATTTTTCAGTTTGCCACGGAGGTTTATTCATATCAAAAGTTTCATTGCTCCCATCTATCGATTCAATGAAGCTTACTCATTTGCTGGCAATTCACAAAGCCCAATTGGAGGAACTGATACACAGTCGCAACGGATATTTAGATGCAAAAAATGCTCTGGACGGCGATTGTGAGCGACTACGCGAGGAAATTTATCAGCTGGACAAATCAATTGCTGTGAGTTTTGCGGTTGAGTTTTCGCTTCACATATTGATTATCCTTTGAATCGATAGGAACCCGAACGCAATCAAATCACTGCATCATCTGAAACGCTTTGAAAAAGTATTTTTACAATATTGGCAATCCAGTGGTGTGCAAACTATGGGTTATTGAGGGGGGGGGGCTTAACTAAAAGATAAATCGAGGCAGCTTTATGAAACCCAAAGTAACGCATGTTCGGTTAATCGGTTACTACAACAAAATGTGAATAATCCGGTACTTGAGCGTTTATTCTGATTCTGATTTTCATATAGTGGTGGATTCTTCTTGGGCCCTGTTTGTCTTCTCGTGCGCAATGGATTGTGCAAGTTGAGCATGGATTACAGAACAAAAAGGAATTATGCTTTTGAGGAAAGGTGAACTGCGCACCTTTGTTATTAATTGTTTTAAGGAGCTCTCATTAGAACTATGACAACCACAAGTGCTTTTACAACAACAGGAAACCAACGTCATTTTATGTTTCTTACATCTCGGTGAGGGAACTGAACAAGAGATACCGAAAGACTAAGCTCTCTAATTTTTCGTTAATGAGCTATGCATGCGAAACTTTCTGATCATCGCACACCTTTTGTATCAACTTATCGATAAAAGGTCTTTTGGATGCTGATCAACAAGAAATTAACTCACAGACACTCATAGAGAGAAGAATGAAATCCGTCTTAATCTTGAAGCATGTATTCTTTATGACCCTCGGAAAACAAATTCTTTTTTCTTTCTTATAATGCAAGTAACCTTCGCTGGTCCTTACATACCCAAAGTATTGCTGGCAAGTTGAAAAGGCTCTCTTTTCAGATCAGAAGACTGCGCCAATTCCGTTCCGACTCGTCGGTGATAAACACTTTCGTTCAATAATGTGTTCTCCCTATACTCCTTTATTGCTCTCCTGTAATTTTTCCTGGTTTGTTGAAGGCTGATTTCAAGTTTATGATGCGTGGCCTCTCAATGATCAGCCGTGTCTCCCAAGTTCTATTATCTGTTCTGATTGGCAATGTGTAATGCCCATATTGATTCATGCTTAAAGTTTGCTGACAATATCCTATCTGATTGCACCCATCCAGTACACACTGACTTGTGTGCATGCAAATCCCACCCCTGCACCCGTTCCAAGTACAAAATTATCCCGTCTCGCATATCTGCATACAGAAACTCTTTGGTACCGTATCTTGCCCGGATACTGACCGACAAGGAAAGTGTTCGCTCTGAGCTTTCTAATGCATTTGGTAATTAACTCATACCTTTGTACGTTTTCACATCCCACGTTTCCCCCTGTTTTTACCAGAATTGTAACGGTGGTCTATTTTTTGGCTGAAAGCTTGTATATATAACCTGCTAAAGCTTGAATACAATACAATACAATACAATGTACTCCGTGTGATCAATGGCATGTCTTGTGAAGTGGTATATAAACTATTGTGTGTACACATTACAAATGCTTTGTCGAATTAATACAGTGATCAGTTTAATGAATAAATTACAGAGTTTTCAGAATGTAACAGAATGCAACAGTGTTCTGTTCGAGGTAGCAAAGTGATCCACGGATGTGTCGGAAGCCGTGGTGCAGCTGCGTCGCGTGGGTGAGAACTTTACATTACTTCGCAAAGGAGAACATGTTACTCGCGAGTAGTGTAAAATATATGCTAAAAGGTTTACGAACCCGCCTTATCAATCCCGTGTATTCCTTCGATAAAGGTAGAACTGATCTTAATCGCCACGAATAGAATCGAATAATCAATCCAAAAATATCACCTAGCAAATTAGTCAACCCACCGATCGATTGATGATAGCATGCAAACTATAAAAACAATCACACCTTTATTTAAGAATATTTGCATTAGATGCCCAATGTGGAGATAAATAATGCGAATCTATGCTGGTGAATTTACTACAAAGATGAACTAGATATTAGAATTCTGTTTGGTTGAACAACAAAAAGATAATATAGGGTATACCTTTCATCAAAACTGGTAATTTTATTTCGCATTTCTCGTTTTATTTCAGTCACGACGTCGACGGAAACAGCGTTGGCAAAATCGGTTCAGTGTTGTACGTGAGGGTCTTGAAATGAAGACCAGTGACGTTCAGCTGATGTTGCAATGTTTGCGTCAGGCTAGTAGATCCATTCAGGCCTTAATGACCAACGTGGAGTCCACGAAAGACGAGAGTATGATTGAGAAAACCACGACTGAGACAATTCATCTAATTCTAAACTGTTTTGCCCAGGCGGGAGCGGCTTCGGATGAGAATTCAAAGGAGCTGATTACACTCCAGACGCAGAAGTCAACGGTCAGCGGTCAAGGAACAGATACAAGCTCTCGCATGTGGACAGATAATGATCCACTGTCCCTGTTAGTTCATCCACCAACGGACGAGATCGGGAGCGACATCAGTGAACCGAATTCCTCGTTTGAAGAAGATTTTGAAATGGAAATATCGGCACCAGAAGAGGAGATAAATACAGCGAGTGAACTGATACAGCAAATGTCCAAGTCCGGTAGATCGGAAGGAACGCAAATTGCGGAGTTCTCTCTGAATGAGGGTTTGGAAACACAGCGGAAACAAACGGAGAGACTGGATTTGCTTTGGACTCAGATTCACAAATCTCCACTGGATGCGTACACACCGAGTTCTCGATCGTGGAGTGAAATACTTAGTGAGTTATTTGTTCATCATTCTTATGCAGTTCCCTAATAGTTTTCAGTGTAAGATTTCCGAACAGAAAATCATTGGACTGATTTTCACTTGGACCGTTTTGATTAATAACTAAATCTATCTACTTCGTTCTTTATAGATTATAGTAAAAGAGATTAATTGTATGACTTAAGATACCAAAATCCAACGACTAGGTAAAAGGGATAGTCATGAGGGCAAATGGGCATAGGAATCGATCAGCGACCAAGATAAGGAATATGACAGGGGCTTGGATCTGTTCTTCAAACCGATTGTGTGCATCACTGCGACCCACGTAGACATTCAATTTTCACAACCGTCTTTGAGCTATCTATTTCTTTATCATTACGTTTTTCAGTCCCTGGAAGTAAAAAAGGCTTTATCGAAATTCCTGATGCCAAAGGGCTGGGAAACAACCTTAAATGGTTTCTTTAAATTTCGCAAATTATTGGTCACGTTGTTGAAGAAGAATCCGTTTTGAGGAATGCTGCGCAGTCAGTTTACGTACCTGGTTGATTTATCTATTACCTCATTAAATACTGGTTAATTTTAATCTCCTAGCTCAGGTTTTTTAGCTCTCTTTCCTTATGTGACCAAACTGGTTGAGTTTGTTTACTCAAACAAGTGACTTGATCACGGAGTCTGGACAAAAAGCCGAGAAGCGGAGACATTCCGAAAGGAACCACCGATGGAGTTAGAGCAATACGCGACGCTAACACTCGGATACGTACATATTGAAGAGAATACTGAATCGGGGACAATACAATGGTTATGTTGGACACTGGGTACAATTGTTACAGATACACCACAAAGGGTCACCGGATGGTGTAGATATGTTCTTTTATAAATTCACTCATGATTCTCTTCTGCTTGTGTTCTCATTCACTGATGTTTGACGGTGCTGACCTGGTTTCAGTCTCAACTAAATATAGGAAACACAGAGCACCGCATTATAAACAGAGTAATGGCGTTCTATTCTCTTTCAATAGGGCAACGTCATTAACCTTAACAGGAGCTAATCCTGTTTCAGAGCAGATATTGATTGGACCGAGACCAGACAACCTCCTCCTACAGCAAAATATCACGATGCGAACTTTGTTGACCGTTTTCTATGTGGCATTTTGTAAAAAGAAAGTGTAAANAAGTGTAAATTGGTCAGGTGTGTAGAGAAAGAATGTGCCTACTTCAAAGGAAGGGGAAAGCAAATGAATCATCGATCGATTCGCTTTCAAGATCCTGACAGTTATAACAGGTCATAAACAAAAATTTCCGGTGACCCGATCGCTCTCCGCACAGGAGTTAAACGATTTGTCAATGTGTAGAATCTAGCTTGTTCTGACTGAAACCGGCCTGGTTTGACTAGTGAAATGAGCGAATGCCAAGCAACCAGTTCTTTTGCGGTATCTGTTCCAGTACGACTTGCGGTAAATTTATTAGAGATGGAACGGCTTCAGGTAGGTTTCATCGAAGTGCATCGGATTTCAATATTCAATGTTCTAGTCTTGCCACCAATAGAATAAATAGTGGCAGCAGGGTTTCACGTCACCCATTTTGTTACTGTTCCAAGCGTATTGCTACATATGTGTTTCGTCACAGTGATACCGGCTTTTGTGACTAAATAAAAAACCTTCTTGAATGAAGGTATCATTTTCTTCGTTTTCTTATCACACCTGGGCGCGCATTTAAAATCGACAGACATGACACCGGTTTTCATGTCGCAAATGCGCATGAAGCATTCTCCTCTTGATCATTCTACTTTCAGAATTCCTGGCATCGAATGTTTCATTTCGAAATTTCCAAATACCCAGCGAATCAAGGGAGAACGTGTACTTGCGAATTGGTGATTTGTTCATTGTGCCCACACCGAACAAGCATATACCAACAAAAAGCCAACTTTTGGCTGTTTCTCGCCAATCGCAAACCGGATCGGATCAGGCGTGGATTGCGTCAATAGACGAGGAAATGGCTCGCCCAACAACTGTGAAAAGGTCAGCTTCGCCAACAGCATTTTTTTATTATTCAGGTACAGGTTTTATGCGTTCGAACCCACATTTACTTTTAAGAGATAGTTTGATTTAATTTATTGTTATATGGCGAATTTCGTCGTATGCAGAGCAAATAAAGCTTGAACCGCAAAGTTAGGAAACACTGTACAGCTGTTTAGCTCTCACTGGTTCTCGTCAGCAGTGCGAATCATCAACCCAATTGGGGATCGAACGGGGAACCTCACAGGTAGAACGCAGGTAAACTACCCACATGAACACCGGGAAACTGATCAGACTGTTTTGTATTTTGTCTATATATATATATATATATATATATATATATATATATATATATATATATNCTTTTATAAGTTTGTTGTTGGCATCACACCTCACTCATCTCAGCATTAACCTCCGGGGTTTTAATGTATTTGGAATCATTTTGAAGCGGACTTTTTGATACATGAGTCACTATTATTCCTGTTAAAGTTATTGATTTTCGACTGGCCATCCTTCAGGCTTTATCTTCAGGCACTCTCGTTGTCTACAACAGCGAACTATGTATTCCAGAAGCAATAACCTACTCTGTTTCTATCACTGGTAATCAGTAGTAGTGGAAACATACATCGACTCGTTCTCATTTTGAGCTCCAAACACTTATACTGGCAATTCTGTTATCGCTGTTATAACCCGGGGGTGATCAGTATCACCGAGGATTTGGGGAGTGTGCGTAAATATGAAGTCCTGAGAACGATCTATTAAACCGTATGAAAACAAACTAACAACTAAAAGTTAAAAGGAAATTGTAAATCTGGCGAAGCAGGTTTCATTGAAGAAACGTACCTGTTAGACTCAGTTGAATGAGACTTTTAATTGGTGTTGCCACAGACCATATCTCACTTCTTTGCTGTCTCATTTGAAACTAAGTAAACATCCTTAATGAGGAAATCCCAAGATGCTTGAAGCGATGGCTCTGACTGGTCTACGAGTGGTCTAGTTAGAACCACAGTGCTGTACAAAATCTTCGTAAGACCGATCCGGGTTTCAAACCTGTTTGCAACAGTTCATTTACAGGATTGAGGAGCTCCAAACACAGAAAAAATATAACAGAGTAGATGATTGACTAGATTATTTTAGAGCTGTGCGTGACGCCAGAACCTGATAACTAGCCCGTCCTGATCAGTATGAACATACTGTTGCAAACAACTAGACAGAACCTTGTTGTTACATTAGGGAAATGCATACTTCATAATAACGCGAGTCATACAGCCCAATTAAATAATCATGCTTACAAAAATTGCTTTTTCCTTAACCAATTGTCGCTTTTTCGCTTTATATTGTGTACTGTGTATAAATTAGATTCATACAGATAAATTAGGTACAAGTGAATACAAATCGGTTCGTGCTTTGTGCTAACTCCTTCATGTTTGTGTCCCCGACAGGATGATGATCACCAATCAAGTTTGACACCGTCACATTCCATGGAAAGAACAACAGAGTTCTGGAAATAGTTTTTTATATGACCTAGACTGTGCCACTCTTTCAAGCAACCATCCAGATGACTAAGCTCCAGAATTAGAAGGGTTATGAATAAGACGCAAAACGCAAGCCACTA